GAGACAGGCAGGTCAGTGTCGATCCCCGAGATTCGGCTCCTACATGGAGCCACGACACTCCAGGGTCCACGGTCCCTCAGCAGTGTCAGCCGTGGCTACGGTGCGGCAGTCATCGAGGCGTAGACGACAAGGAGGTGCTAACCCAACGCCGGCTATTTCGAAACGCACATGCTAAAAGCATATAGGCACTGACTGAGAGCGAAATCAACGACTACGGAGTCTTTTATAGGTTTTTGGAACGTGCCTAAATTCCACACGTACCTTTTCAGGGAGACACAAAAGGATTCGGATCAACTGGGATCGTAACATGTATGTAAGGAGAGATGCTTTACAATGGAGTTCGTGTTTCAGCAGTTTAGACTTGTTCCTTTAAGTCCTTTGGTTAATATTAACTCCGGTCATTTTTTATACATAATGATTGTGTCGCTGATTGATTTACGGTGGGAGGACTAAAGTCTCCTCTAGCCTCTAGCCGGGGTGAGCGCTTGGTTTGTCTGTGCCCAGCTGACCTTGAAGGCAGGGATAGTCTTATCAGCTCATTAGGTATTCACAGGGATTTTGGTGGTCTGGGCTGCTAGTATATGCACCTCTTGCTGTGGTTTTTTGTTTACAGGTTGTGAAAGGGAGAGCCAGACGCTTTGTGTGAACTAGTTATGGAACTAGGGACTGGTCAACTTATTTTGTAGACTTATAACATTTTCCTTGTTTAACTTTTAAAGTTGCTTTTTGGGTACGACCGTTAATCTTTTTCATGTATTCATTTGTTTGTTTGTTTGTTTTTTTTTATGCTGCAGGTTGTCAAAGCTGTTGTGTTTATTCTGCAACCCTCTTATATGCCGTGTTGGCTTTTGTTTTTTTAGTTTTATTTTTTGGTCAGGTTTTCGTGGTTTTTTTGCTTGTATTTGCTTGACTTTAAATTTTGTTGAATCCAAGCTCCTATTTATTTTGACCAGCAAAGTTTCATTGGCATCTAATTTTTTTAGTTTTTTTTTTTTGAAGATCAAAGTTAATCTAGTCCCATTTTGCCCAGACGTCACACTGGTTCTTCAATTTTTTCAGATCACAAGTTTGATTGAGTTTGTAGTTAGACAATTCCTTTTTGTTATCGTTGTTTGGATTCTGTTGAGCAGTGCCCCTAAACAACAAATTTTGGAATTTCATTTTTTTGGTTTTGTTTCCTCCTTTCTATGAAATTTCCTTGCGACTCCTCCCTACCCGATCAAATTTGAAGTTTTTTTTTAGCGAGTTCCCCAAATTCTGGTTTGTTTTTTTGTTTATTAAGACTTAGTTTAGGGGGCCATTTTTCTGTGCTACAAAAGGTATTTCAAAGTTTCCTTTGTCCCTCCTCCCATCTGTCAGTACTATTTTTATGCCACTTTAGTAAATGACCAAGTGACTAAATAATCTGTTTACTTAAGTGTAATTGTTGTCAAGGACAGTGTCATTGTTGTCAAGGACAGTGTCGCAGCTAGGATTTTACCAGTGGGGGGCACAAGGGGGCAGCAGCATCTTATGGGGGCAGGGCACCAGCTTTCAGTGGTTTATTTATTTATTTATTTATTTATTTTGGGGGGAGCAGCTTTTGTTAGCCTTGTTCAATATCCATTCATCCGTTTCTTTAGGGGGGAACCTGGGGGGCACCAGTTATTTTGTGTGGGACGTGCCCCCCAAGGGCCCCCCCCCCGGCTACGCCACTGGTCAAAGACAACTGTCGACAGAAATTGAGCATGAGGATGAACACGGCTCAAGTACAAGCCAAATGTTAAAAGGCTGTTTCTGCAATAATTCAACGAAAGAAAAAACTTAGGGTTGTTAGTTTTATAACTATTGTGATACATTATATCAACGACGATTTAAACCTTGATTATATGTGAAATTATAAAATGTGTAGATTAATTATATGTGAAATTATAAAATGTGTAGATGATTTATTTATACAAATTAAAACTGTGGACTCCTAAACCCAGAACATTACAAGTAACAAGGGCAGTTTTGTCATATTAAAATCTGTGACTCGGAAACCCACAAAAAAGTAATGCGACATCCTTGAACGTCTTTATACTTTGACCCGGATAATACTTCTGGCTCAAGGCAAACCAGGACGTTGATCCAAGCCAACACGCTTCCGGTTTTGATACTGGATGCAATAAAGGGCGCACACCAAAGTTGTCGTGCAATTCTGATTTGAATCAAGACCACCAAACTATGTTTTTGTTCCGCTACAACGGATTTATTTCAGTTCGACTGGGCTTTTGGTAAATTAAGTTGAAGCCACTGTCGTACTTATGTGCCTTGATAACGTCACGCTATATTGAATTTTATTCGACATAGAATAAGAACGACGCCTGAAACAGGTCTTATACTCCTCTCCAGAGTATGAAAACAGTTTGACGTTTTGGGGGATGAGTGTACTTAAAAAGACAACTTTTTAAACACATAAAACTGTCCGTGTTTATGCGGACAACAGAGGGAGCTGTTGCGGTGATGTCAATCAGCGGAAACGATGCGCAGGTTGGGTTTATCTATTCAAATTGTGAACCCATAATTTGCCCATTGGAAACACCTCTGAAAAGGGGTTGCACACTAGTTTCTTGCCATGAACTCAAACAACGACGAATCGGTTTTGTTTCTAAAATGACATCACAGTTTTGGTCGTGAATATGAAAATTTGCATGAACATAAAACCCATAATATTACCAAGATACCTTATGAAATGCAAAACAAAAATTGGAAATAATGTTGAATCAAACATAAGGCTTCGTTTTGAGGACTGTTGTAACAAATGCATTCCATGGGCCCCTTTAAAGGGCAATGTAACCTACTTTTCAAGACCGTATATTGCCGACTGATTTATGTCATCAAGCTCAATATAGCCGCAGCTGAAACGATATACACCAATTTGGGGGATGCATTTCTCTAGATGTATTTTGCAGTTCTGTGACAATTCAAATGTACAAATGTATGTACTCGAATAGCCTGCATTAATTTGCCTCAACATTTATTTGTCTACCCCATCTTTTTAACAACCCACTTAAAATGTTGCTTTGCAGACCGTGATCAAGAAAGCTCACTTACCTGTACGGCAATGGTGAATCAGGCAGGACGAACCGGCAATAGCCTAACAACACGGCAGGAATTCAGCTCTGGTGACAAATAGTACCAATGCCTGCATCATGCATCGGCTTCAGTGGACTGTGTTCCCAAGGTGTGGCCCAAAATTCGTGCGAACACAAGAAGGGTTAAAAAAATTCCATACAGAGTGGAAAGGGGTGGATTGTGATTGGACTATTGCTGTGTGGTGCGACACGGATTTTGTGCGCGCGCACTTTCGCCACTGTCAACCTGTCCCTCAACGGTAAATTGTATCTAGCAAAGTTAATGTCACAACAAAACAAAACAGGGAGCGGCCAGCAACAGGATGGTTTTATGCGCGTTGTGGGGGTCGTGTCAGGTTTATGTCGTACCATAGAGCAATTGTCCAATCGCAGACTTTCGTTAACCCATCCCTAAAGAGGTGATAGGGTTTTAGCAAGCATGGGAAAATAACCAATGAGCAATATGCTTGGCCGGTCGGAGGTATTCTTCTCAGAGGGACAGTGAGCTTGCTTCGACTGACACTCCTTGTTGATTTCCGCTGTGTGTTCAACGGAACAATACGCGTTGAACTCAGGGAAGACTGTCAAAAGTCATTATAGCAGGTAAGTAGTAGCTTGGTTGTGTTTTATTTTACGAAAAGTAAATGTATACGAATGCAACAGATTGTTCATGTTTCACCTAAATGAAATTAACCAAGACCTTCCCATTGAAAAGATTGTACATGAAAGCTTCATCATTTCTGTACCATGCGGGAAATTGTAAGAATCCCTACAACAGCTGTGATGGCAGGATCTTGAATGCGTTCCCACTTGCATCACGTATGTTTTCTGACATTTTTTTGCAATCGTAACCGTGAAATAAAACGTTTCACTTATGCTGTGCCACTGTTAAGAATTGTAAAGATTGACGCAATTGGATAATGTCAAACACCACAAATATCTTTCCATTGTATTCAGTCTCAGCATAGAGAAGGGACATGTCTTTTCTCGATGGTCGCAGCTAGTGTTCTTTTAAATTAAAAGTTTGAATTTTTGAAAGATTCTCTTAGAGTTTTTGCACCTTGGGTTATTTTAAATGAGAAATGAATCTTTCAGGTGTTTACTAATTTGTATTTTTTGCTTCGGTTTGGTTGTTTGATTCGCCTTTATTATGATCGGCGATATACGATAACTGAATTAGGCCACCTGTTACTCATACTCGGTAGAGAATCGCGGCCGGTAATGTATGTGTCCAACATCATTAGGTATGAGAACCAAGAGAGTACAGCTGCAGCATAGGAAATAGCCAAGCTTTCGATTCAGGACAGGTGAGGGTCAAGAAAAGATTGATAGTTCTGTGGCAACCTGAACTGAGTGACCTGCCCAGCGGTGTGAATTACTGTCGTGGACTGAGGGCGGGAGGTCAGGAGATGACGTTGATAAAAAATTGGCCCGCCATGGGAATCTGGAAGGGGGTACATCATGTAACACTTGGGGCGCACTGTTCGTAATACAATTGTACATCTGCAATATGCATACATAAAGTACTAACAACCCCGAGCTTTACATAAAACAGTGTATTTATAATCCCTTTTCAGTGTTAATAAATACATTTTGGTTGTTAGGAATTCTTAATAATTATTCAAAATCCACCTTATTTGTTACTCACCACGAGAAGTGTTGGATGATGTAATGGCCAATCCTTCCTATTCAAAAAAGTAGATGGTGGGGATATACCCCAAGGATTTACGCCCCTGTATCTGCCTTGCTTACCAGCTCTTGATGTAGTTCGACATTTTGGGTGAGTGTGTACGCGTACGATTTTTTGCATTCGAATAGGGACCCTGAATTACAGGGACAATAGGGTCCCCGATGTGGCTGTCGCATGAAAACATTTGGGAGGACTTCCAAATGAGTATGAACAAAAGAAGAACATAGGGGTGTCCACATTTAGAAGGGCATCTACACGCTTGGGTGTGTGCTAACAGTGTGGACTCGTGAATAAAAGACGTCCACACGATGCATGAAGGGAAATGTTCTGTGGACTTAGCCACGTCCAAAGGACGTTTCGCCCTCTCTAAAAAGAGGTTTGCTGGCATTTTGGGGGTTTGAGTTATTTGTTCTTAAAACAGTGGAACCGTCAAGGAAACACTGTTTTAATATCAAGCTGAAAATCGTATTAACAATTAAAACCAACCAACAAACAAACATTTTTTTCACTTTTCCAAATGAACCTGTAATTCATGACAGAGAATATTTACAAAACAACGATTCCTAAAATAAAACAAGGTTCAAATGGAATAAGTAAATACTGACATACAATAAACTTAACAGAAAAGAAGGATTCTCAGTAAAAATTAAAAAGAATTAATTAATTATAACATGAAGATTGGAACCGCACTTATAGCCATCGAAAACACTAAGACTTCTTATCAGGGATAGACAATGACAACCATGAAAAAATGATCAGCCCTCACTCCTGCGTGAACAGTGTTAAATGATCAGGAAAAGATACTTTTGTTTCTATGATAGCATGCACTTGACGTCTAAAAGACATAACATGAGATAACTCTTTGTCTCTAATTCCCAAGGGGATCGGTTTGATGCCTGAAACTGGTTTGCAGAAGCTTGACAGATTTTTTTTTTGCGATGAGTGCATTTGGTAATTCTGGATATACATTTGACAGTCTCTCAGTAGGTTTGACTAAGGGGTGATGGGAATAAATGAATCGTTGTGCTGCAAGCAAGCAAGCACGCAAGCAAGCAAAATATTTTCACCGAGATTTTTTAACTGCACGAAAACAAAAATGTCCACTCTAGGTATGAAATATGTGAGTGTGCTTTACAAGTTTCAGGCAACCTAGCATGTTCTGAATCTGTTGTGTGCTATTTTGATATACTGTCATTTTTTTTCATTCTCTAGTAAACCTGAAATTGGAGAATATGGCTTGTGTATGCTGTACCATACCTGTATGGTTCTATAACTCACGGAACAATCTGCCCTTTTAGTCCTAAACACTGTTATTAGCGTTTTGTTCGACAAGTGTCGAATTTAAAGCTTTAGGCTACCAGCTGTGCTTGTACAACTTGATATTTGACCATTTCCCATATATGTTAATTTTGCTGTGATTTATTTTCGTTTTGATCTGCATAGCGGGATACAATTCAGCCCTCTTAATTGTAACCCTCTATGCTTATCAGAACCTCCATGATCAGAACTACATTTCCAACGGACTAAACATGTATATTTGAGCCCTGAAGAGACTGTCCAAAGGAAGCAAACACGAATTTTGTCTTTTCAGTACTTGTATATGCATGGCCGTATAGCAGTTATAGGCAAATTGCATGATTGCATACAGACAAGGTAATGTGATGACGCCAGAGTTGCTGGCTCGAGTCATGTGACTTGGACTTGAGTCGGACTCGAGTTGCTATTTTTGTGACTTGACTTGTGAATACCAGCTCTGACTTGTGACTTGACTTGGACTTGCAAAAAATGACTTGCTGCCACCTCTGGATGACACATGCACAACACACACATACAAATATCTCGTTGATTACATTTTGTTACCATCACTTTAATTCACTTGATATCAACCGAATAGATACGAATCACTGCAATTATTCTTTGGGTCTGTGCAAATGCTATATTAACAATTGTTTCTACTACCTAGAGGTCATGAGGGTCAACTAGTAAAATCTTAAAGGCAGCAACACGAACAAAATACTTGTAATAATAATAAACAGACCCTGATTATTTTTGACTCACCATAAGACACCCTGCTGTCACAGTGATAGGTGAAGAGATCCCACCTAGCTTTCACTTTAAAGACAGACAGGACGCAGTTCCGCGATTCTAGTAAAGCCGGACGAGGCAGCAACGTGAACTCTTTAAAAGAAAGCCGATTTATTCTGAATCGCCACAGTATCTTTCCATCATAGTGGAAGTTGGACAAGTTTCTTGAACTTTAACAGTACATGTACAATGCAAAAACACCGGACAATGTAGTAAATAGGGTACAAGAGCATAGTTCCCTGATTCTATGTAAATAGCCGGACAAGGCGGCAAGATAAGGCATTTAAAGAGACCTGGATTTATTCTGAACCACAAAATCACCTTTCCAAACCTCACCCAAACAGTTTTTTGAACACCTAATCAGCAATTTCCAGATATTTTATTGATAATAAAACTCATCCTTACACAATTTCGCTCCAGCTGGTGATGCTCATGCTTAACGCTTTCATCCCTAGCGCTTAATGATTTCGAGGAACGGCGAACAGTGCAGAATCGGAAGTGGTCTAAAATCATGGCTGCTGCACACCACACAAGCACACACCCACTCATCCATCCACCCAACCAACCACCAAGACACACCCCCACCCACCCATCCAAACGCCGCATAGAAATTCTCCGGAAATGTAAAAGGGCCACATACACAATTTATTTCGAGTAACATCTCACCGCGGTGAGATGGTAACTAAAAAAATTGTGCAAGTGCCCCTTGTATGCTTCCATACAATTCAATCGAACTTCATTGAACTGAATTTCAGTCGCTAAAATGCCATGAAAATCTGGCAGTCATTTTGCACCTAAAACATCTCAGCCAGAAGCTGAGCTACTAACAACCAAACTGAAAATAAACAAACAAATTTAACGGTCTCCTTCCCCTTCTCGTTTTCAAGCAAGTGGACGTTCAATTGGTTATGTTTTTGAAGCTTAGTCTTGACTTGTACATGGGTGTGGAATACACATCGACAGACTAACACGCGTAGCAGCAGTATCTTAATTATATTAAAAAGGCGCAATACCGTCTGTTGACAACTATTTCAATCTTTCACGAAGACTCACAGAAAACAGGATGCCCTGTTCACAACATTTTGAGTCCCGATTGTGTTAAATTGAAGGTGTTCATTGTAAACCATTTTGTAATAATTTCACCGATAATGAGATTTTCAAGTACATTCATTTATTTTTCAGAAACCCAAAGCTCGAAAGGCTGACAGCTCAAGAGAGAATCATGCCAGGTAATGAACAGTTTCATTTTGCCTCCTTTGGTGATCTCAATAAATACTGAATCTGTCTCTTTGTGTGGGGAGAGTGTGAAGACTCAGCCACATCAACCAGTCAAACAAATGAATTCCTACGTACATACAGTTATGCCCAAAAGTTTACTCCACTTGAAAGACTAAAGGTGACTGCCATTTATACCTATTTTCTCCACAATAATTCATCATTCGTTCAAAAGTTTATGTGCTTGATTGGCTTTGGAAATGCGTAAAGTTGGTCTGATATTACCTTTTATGTAAAATGTACATGTATGTCCTATATTCCTTGTTGGTTATGATAATAAGTCAGGCATAGGTCGGGTATGCCAGGCTGCATAGAGGACGCCTACCTACATGTATTCCGGCCCTATTTCCACCTGAGCCAGCACGGGAAGGCAAAACAATACTCTCAAGACCGGGGGAAGTGCAACATCCAGTTCAAGGAAGTTCTGAGGTCAACTGTCCTGACGACTGTGCGGAGATGTAGGGTCAAATTGACAACTAAGATCAGGTCGGATGTCCAAGTTGACATCAACTGATGAGGGCACTGGTTAGGGACAGTTCAATCCCGAGACTGTGCCAAGAAAGGGGGGCTTTAGTGACTAGTGATGACGCAGGTGTCTTCGTCCAACGTTCACCTTGGATGTCACTGGACCCTCTGATATGACAATTAATGGAGCATAGTTCCAATTTGCTGTTGTCGACTCGAGCGGAATAAGGTGGATGTCTTGGAGTGGCCAACTCGAAGTCTGGACTTAAACTAAATGGGAGTTTGTGTGTAAGAGAGTGTTCAAAAAGAAACCCATTAATTTGACTGAACTCTACCAGCAGTTTCGATAAGAATGGGTTGAAATCCCTCATAAACCACCATTTTATCTAAATTCCGTCATAAAGGTTATTCAAATAAAACACAAAATCCCAAAAATAAAAATAAATCCAGAAGAAAGCGTTCTATAAGGGCAATAACTGCACATGATAACTTCGGGTACACAGCCTAATAAAAGCTAATGCGCAAGCGTTAAATTTGATATTGTTGTCGATCATACCAAGCACCAACGATGTGAATATTCAACTTCCTTTACTGCAGTACACAACGTTTTAAGGATGCAGATTACCAGCAAAAAATCCCGGCTATGATCATGGGGTACAAAGGGGGCTTATGGTTGTGCAACAGGTGGTGCGTGAACAGGTGGGGCGGAGCAAGCATTAGCTGCGCTCTGGCAATCATATGCAGTAAGGTATGAGACGGAG